ATCTATCTATCTATCTATCTATCTATCTATCTATCTATCTATCTATCTATCTATCTATCTATCTATCTGTCATTGTATAAGTTTATGTGCAAAAGCATAAATAACTTAAGTGCATTTTTCTTTCAAGGATGTTCTAACTGAGCAGAAGTATTTGTAAGGCAATAGAAATCTCCACCACTCGCTGTAAGCTATTCTTTATCTTCCCATGTCCCCATTCCACCTTGCAATCTCTCCTTTTCTTTTTCCACAGGATTATTCCCTAGGCAACCCTGGTCACACAACTTAAAAAGCTGTAAAATGTATTTCCAAAATTAAACGAGTAGCTGGTTCCTATCCATCTGCTGACTAAGATGACTCATTGTGTTAACTTGGAGTAACTTCCTTTTTGCCCTGTCTTCATAGGCAATGACTGTGATACGTTCTGGGATAGGGACCAGCTCACCAATAGCTGCTATCAGTTCAACTTTCAGTCCACCCTGTCATGGCAGGAGGCTGGGAAGAGCTGTGAGCAGCAGGGGGCCAACTTGCTTAGTATCACTGCGATTCATGAGCAGACCTACATCAATGGTAAGCAGTGGGGATCTAAGCTTGAAACAGGTTCTGCTGGTAAAAGTATGGAAAATGTTTGGCTCCGTAGACTGACTTGTTTACTATCCTTTCACCTATATAGACCAACAATAACCCTTCCAATAATGGTAGTTTGTTGGGTGTTCTTCAGTACAGAATGAATATTGATACAGAGAAAGTCTCAGTACATACCTGTATATAAAATATTTGCATTTACAACATGAATGTTGTAAAAGAAGGCTTTCTGGTGCAAATGGATGGCTCAGAAGAAAAGGGATTCAGGGAAGATTAGTTTGTGCTTAGTGTGTAATGGGAGATTCTCTATCGGCATGGTTGAATAAGAATGGTGGAGGGAAGAATGCTGTTAGGTGTCATTATGGCTGTGTATGCCTTATGGTGGAGGAGCTGCTCTTTTGACTTTCTATCTTTCTCTGACTACACCAGGACTGCTGACAGGATACGGTTCCACGCTCTGGATTGGGCTTAATGATTTGGACCTCAATGGGGGTTGGCAATGGTCTGACAATTCTCCCTTGAAGTTCCTCAACTGGGAAAATGGTAAGTTGGACAGAGAGGTGGAAAAACGAATGAGGTCACAAAAAAACTATCAACTATTCTGTAAGTACAGGGTGTAAGCAGACCTTGCTTACTAACTGTATAGATTCCTGTTGTATAGATGTATATAGATTCCTATTCCTTGTGTGTGTGTGTGTGTGTGTGTGTGTGTGTGTTGAAGAGCCAGACACAGTATAAAATATTTTCTAGTATAATACAAGCCCATTTTCCACCTCTCTTCAAAATTTGCATGCTAGAGGTATATGCCATAAAGTCAAAGTACAGCTCCCATATCTGGGATGCAGTAATTTGGGTAACCCCTAGATGGTAGCAAAGAGAACATATTTGGATTTTTACAGCCCAAATAAGATAGCCCTAACAAACAAACAATGCTGGTGGTGCTTGCATGGGAGATGGGACCAAGTTGCCGGTAACGTGGAAGCCGCACATGCCCAAAAAAGGCGCAAAGCAATGGAAACCCCGCCTCCTGCGCTCGCCAGCTGGGCTCTGCTCTAGGAAGGAGGCAATGGCAAACCACTTCTGAAACACCTTGCCTTGAAAACTGCAAGGACTCGTCCAGACAGTCGCCGCAGAATCGGTAACGATTGAGTGCGGATGAAAAAACAAACAAACATTGGTTCAAACACAGCCTGTCCTTTTTATCTACAGATGAGCTGCTTGGCTTTAATTTACAATTTAAAGTAACATGATAATACTAATCCATTTTTAAAAATCCATCCTTTGCCTTATTTGGGGGCAGGGAGTGGAAACTATTTGAAATAAGGATAGCTGGTCTTAAAACTTAGTATTACATTCTATAATGATGATGATGTTTTTGAGAATATGGAGGTCTTTACTTTTCTGAGATTGGCTTACCCAGTTATTTTGCAGCTGTCATAACTGGGCAGAAATTCCCCATATGCAGCCTCATCTTCAACAGCACAGTATATACTTTTTCCTTTCTCATAACAAAATCCAAAAAGAATGTCTTGTCAATCCTTGAAAATCAGAGCTGATCCAAAATCGCATCCTTAAAATTGAAAAGACATTCTTGGGCTATGCTTTTCTGTTTAAAGAATGGCTATTGCAGGGGTAGGGTATCTCCTTCTCTTGCAGATCAACCTGATAACCCCAATGAAGAAAATTGTGGGGTGATACGGACAGAGTCCTCAGGAGGATGGCAGAACCGGGACTGCAGCGTTGCTTTGCCATATATCTGTAAGAAGAAACCGAATGCCACTTCTAATACATATGTCACAGGTGTGTAATTTGGAGAATGCCAGTAACCAATTTCAATATGCTTAATTTAAATGTAAACAAACAAACAACAAAAAGAATACCGCAAAGACTGAAGTTGCTATGGATTTTTGCAGAAAATCTCACACAGGGCCTTGGCACTGGAGGAATTGTGTGGCGAACAAGGAAATGGCATTGGATTACCATAGGCTTTTTGTGTGAAAGGATGAGGTCCACAACCCGGGTACCCAGCCCTCGTCCTTCTTATCTGATTAAATGGGCCAGGATGGGGCTGGCTCCATAATTAAGAAAGATGATTGGTGCCTCCTTGCCAGAGAGGGGTATTCCTCTCCTGCTTAGAAAAGGTCGTAATAAGACATCTACTGAAGAAAGCCACCTGGTTCCAAGAGATGAGTCACAAATGTCCATTCCTGGGAAAGGCAATTAAGAAGGGAGTAGCCTCATGCTTGAGAGGCATCCTAGTGATACTGATTTTCTGGATCCATTTCAGTGGGCTTTTAGCCAGGATATGGCACTGCAATTACTCTGGTTGCCTTAGTGGATGACCTACAGTAGATATGGATGTGCTGGGGAGTATGGCTGTGCTAATCCTCCAGGACATCTTGATGTCCTTTGATACCATCAATCACATTATCTTTCTGGACCACTGGGTGGGATTGGGCCTTGCGTTTTACAGTGGTTCCATTATTTCCTATTGGGCTGTGTCCAGAAGGTGATGCTGGAGGACTATTGTTAAATACCTAGGTCATTGATCTGTGATGTCCCATGGTGTTCCATCTTGTGGCCCATGCTGTTCAACTTCTACATGAAACCATCGGAGGAGACCATCTAGAGTTTTAGAGTGGGACATCTTCAGTATGCTGAGGATATCCAGTTTAATTGCTCCTTACTATCCAATTCAGTGGAAGCAATTGTACTCTTGAATGCTACCTAAGTTCAATAATTGACTTTACAGAAGAGAACAAATTGAAGATAAGTCCAGACAGAATGGAGATGTTATAAGTAAGAAAGTGGTCTGAGGGACTGAGGCAAAGCCTATTTTGGATGGGTTTGCATTCTCACTGAAAGAGCAGGTTTGTAGAATTGCTGCCCTCATTCAAGGCTGGCAGACATCTACTGCTGTTGTAGGAGGAAAGGAAAAGTGAAAGCAACAAACCCACAATGACCATTTGCTAATTCTGAGCACCGTGGCATCACAGGCAGGCAAAGGGCAGCTTGCAAACCCGTTTGCAGTACAAAATCAGCCCTCACCAGTCTGTGTGCCTGCAAAGAAGTAACCTCAGTGCTGGGTTCCCAGCTCTTTTCACACAGATGCTTGCTCCCAGATTCCTTCCTGGCCTGAGGCATGGTTTTTCAAAAAGGCCTTCAAACAGAGGCTAGATAGTCAAAGATAGTAAATTGGGCCCTGAATACAGATTGGACTGGATGACCTCTAAATTTCCTTCCAATGTTATGATTCTAAGCCAATTGCTACAGTTTCCTGAAATCAAAAGTTTGCTTTTGAGGCAGGGCACTGGACAGGCATTGCTGCTTGCACGCTTTGCAGTTGCAGCTTCTTATTGGTGTACAGGTAGTCCTCGACTTACGACCACAGTTGGGACCAGAACATCCGTCACTAAGCAGTGTGGTAGTTAAGTGAGCTGTGCCCGATTTTATGACCTTTTTTGACACAGTCGTTAAGCAAATCACCATGGTCGTTAAGTGAATCATGCAATCATTAAGCGGATCCAGCTTCCTCCATTGACTTTGCTTGTTGGAAGCCCCCTGGGAAAGTTGCAAATGGTGATCACATGACCCCGGGACACTGCTACCATCGTAAATACATGCTGGTTACCAAGAGCCTGAATTTTGATCACATGACCACAGGGACGCTGCAATGGTCATAAGTGTAAGGACTGGTCGTAAGTCACTTTTTTCAACGCTGTTGTAACTTCGAAAAGTTACAACACTTGTTAAATTAATGGTCATAAGTTGAGGACTACCTGTATTCACTGCACAGCTCCAGCAGCTGCCAGTCACTACCATCTTTCATTTGTTATTTTTTAGGAGTTCAGTAAGGAAGTGTGTAAACCATGAATGGGAAAGTTACATTAGCTGAAGCTTACCAATGGGAGTATGGACCTTGTGGAAGTTTTCCATGAGGTTGACACTCCCCTGAGCCAGGGGAAAAAAGCTTGCTGTGCATAGTTCTGTTCTCTCTAGCAGACAGAGCAGAAATGGTCCCAGAAGCACAGAACCCCCTGCCAGACAGCAGGGGTTGATCTTGCAAAGGGCCAGTTGGAGCCCAGCCAGCTGCCAGTCCTCCAAAGAAGACCGATCTATGTGACATGGAGCATTCATGTAGAGGGACTTCTTTCATTTTCCAGTGGAAAGTACCACTTTCTTGCTGGATTCAGCTTCAGCCTGGCTCAGCAGCAGGCTAGCACCAAGATGGTGGGCTCTATTGAAGGACATAACCTAATAGTAGGCTCTCTTGAAGCTGGGGCAAGGAGCCATATGGACAAGCCCTGTCTCCTCCATGATAAATTTGTCCATTTTTAAAAATCAGGAGAACTCACTTTCTGATATTACTCTTGTGTTGTTTCCAGGCTATGGATTGCACTCCCCTACTCTCTCAACATTTAGGAAATCTGTAAGATGTATCTCTTTCACCAAGCTTTTATTTGTTAGATGATTTTAGTATTTATTTTATTATTATTTTAAGAGTTTGGGGACAGGGATATATTGAGTTGGAAGGAAGTGCGCAAGCAAAAGAGTTTCAGAGCCTGAAAGTCAGGCACTTAGGGCACCAAC